GTGAGATTTGAACAGCTGAACTGCAGAACTGCAGTCAGCTGAAGTAGCCTGCAGTGCTGCACTCTAACCACTGCGCCACCTCGGCTCTCCTGAGGAAATCTCCTGAGGAAGTTCTGATATGTGCCAGTCAATCCTTCCATCAATGGAGTAGCCCATTTTGCTGCTAACCTCTTCAACAAGCTTAATAAAAAGCTCATCCTGGCCTGGTCAGTTGGCTCTCCTGTCTGTGAGCATCTCTCACTGAGTAAGGATGGTTAATTGGTCCATGTCCTCTCCACACTCCTTCAGCCAGCTGCCCTGGGAGCATACAAGGACTACTGGCTGTGCTGCTGTTGTCAGTCTGGCTACAGCTACTGGACATTTTTCCTGACTTGCTGCAACAACTGCATCATTGTGGCTTATGAAGTATTGACCTGTACGTCCATGTGCTGCTGGCACTGGAGTAAGACCTCTGCTAGCCGCTACGGAGTTATCAGTGTTCTTTGTGGATCTGTGGCCATGCTTGAGTTCTCCTCTCTTTTGGGGAGAGTAAGAGTCTGGCAAGATTGATGTCAAGTGTGGCCCAAGAACAACGTAACACAATCCAGCCAAAGTTTATTTGCTTCCACTATATAGACAGAATCTTGCCAGACTAAAGCTAGAATACTCCAACCCTAATGAATATTCTCTGGGAGATTTTTAGGGAATCCTAATTCTCTTCCTCTGCCTCCTATCCAGCTCCGGGCTGCCTCTTGTCTCCCCACTCCCTTTCAGCATGTACTTCCTCCCCCTTTGGAAACTGCTGCTTCACTGTAGTCCATCCCACCCCCTCCCCAACCGGAGGCCCAGACCCCCACACATTGCCAAGGAAGAGGCATGCCAGCTCACTGAATAGAACACGAAGATAAATACTTACATCGCATTTGCTTCACAATAGACTTTGTGAATTCCAGCCAGTGCTGAAGTGAAGAAAAGAGAGAGATTCAACAGCTAGCAAAGAGAGGGTGGCTGCACTGTTTTTCTGCTTCCACCCCCCACAAAACCTGACTTCAGTTATAAAATTGTACTAGCTACAAAGCGGTTGGGGCTGAGCAGGAGCCGTGTAGAGTCTTGTGGTGATATTTGGGGCAGATTGTTTGGGATGTTTTTTCCCACACCTGCCTATTTTGCCCCAGAAGCTCCGCGTGGGACAGTCCCTTTCTCAGACCCCAAGGGGGTGTGTTTTTTCTGGCCAGCCTGCAGCGTCCCAAGGCTGGGCCCTTTTGCAGATAATGCAGCTCCCAAATGGGTCCTGCCCAACTTCCTACCAATGGCACTCCGGGCTCCCTGCCGGGTCCCCTTGGAGCAGGTGCCCCAGGAGGGCAAGGCTGGCTCTGCGCTCACAGCCTCCGGATGAGATTCCCCTCTGCATGGAATGCAGCCATCTGGGTGGTGCAATTGGCCTCCTTGGGGACTTCTCCCTCCTCGTCTCGTTGGGCAGACAGTTCTACCCCAGCAGCCACTGCTGGGCCCAGAGTGGCAGGAGGGCCCCACAGCTCCGTTTGATTGGCTCTTTGGGGCCTTTCATAAACCTTTGAAATGGGGATTTCTTCAGAGGGGTTTGGAGGACAAAGCAGGGCCACGAGGGTTTCTGCTCTTTGACAGCTTCCCCATGTTGATTCTTCTCTACGGAGGCTGCCTTGCACCCGTTTCCTATCACGATGTTAAGGGCCCCCAAGAGCCTTGAATCGCACGGCTGCAAATCTCGTCAATACTGCAAGTGCTCTCCTGTGGAGGGTCTCCATTGGCAGCAGAGCTTCCATCACAAGCAGTTTCAGAGAGAGAGAAAGTCCACACACATACCCTTCTCTGCCCTTGGAGCATCGCTTAGCAGGCCTACCGAGCATCTGCCTTGGACAGAGATGTCGCAAAGGCTCTTAATTCCCCATTATTCCCACGCTGTCCCTCTTACTCTAAGACCAGACACTCCTCTTAATTTAGGAAGGTGCAGAATATCCTAAGGCCGTGGATCAGGTAAGGACCATTCCTGTTGACCGAGTCCCTGTCATCTAAGCTGGTCCTTCAGGTCTTCCCACAATGCACCCGCAGTTGCTGTAACTGAGCCAGCCCCCCCCCCCCTCAGATGCTTCCCCCCCTTCTCTTTCCTTCTATTTTCCCAGCATTAGAGATTTCCCCAGAGGACTGGATCTTTGCGTGATGCATCCAGAGTAGAATTTATAAACTATCATTATTTTGTTCTATGATTTTATCTATATCCTACACTTTATTTACCTAATCATTTTTATAATTTTACTATTAATAGTCACCAGAATTTGTGTGTATGTTATGTATGTATATGGCTCTTGCCATGCTATATAGCTTTGGGGTAATTATGATAGCTCTCAGATGTCTGTTCCATCTTCACTCTTCTTACTTATTGGAGGAGCTGTGACTGTCCATTCAGGCAGCGCAATGTCTCCGCACCCACACCCAGGATGGAGGCAGGGCCTCCGGCCTTGTGGAAATCAGGAGGAAAAAACTGGGCAGGGCAGGGAGTTTGCCTCTATCCAGGAAGGGGCAATGAGGGACCCCCAGGGCACCTGATCAAAGCAGCTCCTGCCAGGGAAAGGCAGGCTCAGGCTCTGCCTGGCTCCCTTCTTTTGGCGCCCAGATCTTTAGCAGAAAAAAACAGGGAGGGGGATGTGCCCTGTGTCTATTGCTCTGGCTCCCAGAAGAACGGGGGGGGGGGGGGGGGGGGGGGGGGGGGTTGTTTCAATTTTTCCAGTGCTTCAAAAAGCATTGAGAAGAGATAGAATTTCATTTAATTTGCAATTAAGTCAGATTAATTTAAAATATAGATGCACATATAACCATGCAATATCTACTCACTTGGGGCTCGGTGGTGCAGTGGTTAGAATGCAGTACCGCAGGCTACTTCAGCTGATTGCCCACTGACTGCAATTTGGCAGTTCGAATCTCACCTCTTTGCTGGCTTGGAGGCCGGACACAGGGAAGGAAGGGGCTCACCTGACCAAAAGCACCAAGCCAGGACTCACCCTCTGCTTGTCAGGGTCAACAAAGCGGATCCCAAAGTAATCCTTCTCCAGGAGGTTTAAGTGATGGCACAGCAGGTCGAAGAGGAACTGGCCTTTGGCATCTCTCTGCAAAAGAAGGGCCGGAGTCAGGCAGGGCAGCAGCCAGGAGCAGGAGGGATCTCCTGTTAGGGATCAGGGACCCAGGCAACGCAGCAGCCACAACAGCAGCAGACACAACTTTCCCAGAGGTGACACGCCTCCACCCACATGACATGGCAAGGCATCAGGGATGGGAGAGGGAGTCCAGAGATCCAGCCAGAGAGCCCCTCCCGAGGCAGATGCAGCCCTTCCCTCCTCCCATTCCAGAGGGTGGGGGTCTTCTAGCAAAGTAGATTCTCCACCAATCATGGCAGAAGCAACATTGGCCAGAAGCACCTCATGAATCATGAGAACCTCTGCAGAAACCAAAGGATGAGAAAGGCAACCGCTGGACTGATGTGTCCTCCCCCATTCCTCCCCTCCTCTTGACTCCCTCAACCTTTGGGACCATAATGACCCGGATGACTGAGACTCTCCACAGACGTGTCTGAAGTGAAGATTTCTGACCCACCGTTCTCTCTGGGAAGACTCTGAACCCTCCTGGGAGACTGGATGAGGCTCAAACCTGCCCCTGCTTTTTCCCCAGGGCAGAGTTGTCCCTGTCTTCCTGCACCTTCCCCTCCCGGCAAGTAGGCAACTCACCTGACCCAACTCAGCCCCAGAGCCTCCCTCCTGCAGGTCCTTGCCTCCCCAACAGCCGCTCTGAGGAGCTGAGACGGAGGGGCACTTGGGGGCCACTCAAATCACCCAAAACTGCTGCTAGGAGCAACCAGCAACCAGAAGCTTTTCAGTTACATTCAAATTCAAGATCACATGATTTGCGGCTGAGGATCTGCTAACATCTCCCCACATCGACGAAGGGTAATAAGAGCAACTGAATCCTGCAGACAGCCTCTCACTACCTCACCCTGGCTTAACAACTGCTCTAAAAACAGTAGAAAAATCAGATCTGGTCACATGGGTGCCTCAACTTGTGACTATTCTGAATTACAACTGAAATTCCAGTCCCAAGTGAGGTCGTACATTCAGGACTACCTGTACCTTTTTAGCATTCCCTGAAAGTCCCTGCCAGGCTCCAAAGCCAAAGATACACTGAGTTCCTTTCATGCCCCTCACCTACATTTTGCCAAACTGAAGCAGACTCCTTGCCCCATTAAACACAATCTCTGGAAATGATTAGGGAGGAGCTCTCTTCATCCTTTCTCTCCCACATGAACTATCTAAGCTGCTCTGTCTCTTGGTCCTCTGGAAGACAGCCCCTCCCTCCCGGGAATCCAGACTGCTTTCCACCACAATCTCTCTTCCTGCCTTGGGACTGAAAGCTGTAAACTTCCTCCCTGGGAATCAGCCACCCCTGGTTGTCAGTTGAAGAAAGATTAATGAGCCGACAAATGCTGCTAGGCCCCGTATGGCATTCACCACCCTTCAGCCTCTCTGGTTGGCTTCACTGCTGTGTAGCAGGAGGGATGGACAGGTCCCTCCTGCTTGCATTGGGACAATCCCACCATGAACCCTGCTGGGCAGCCGGCCAAGGGCACTTGATGAGCCAACCAGAGCTAGAAAAGAAAGGGAGGCAGACAGTGGCCCTGCTTCCGACTCTGCGGCTCTGGAGAACGGGGCCAGCCTCCCTCACCCCTCCCTCGAGAGCCCAGCTGCCCTCGCCTCCCCACCGCCCACAACAGCCTTGCTTGCAAACAGAAGTTTTGCGAGAAGGACCCCCACAGCCATGCCAAGAATATGGAGAACATGGAGGTTTCTTCTTTCTGAAATCTCCACATTGGGATGTCTGAAGAGCAGCTCTCAACTGAGACCCCAGATTCAGCTGAGAAGGGCAGGCAGAAGCCCCCTCACGGAAGGTGCAGCTCAGCCTTTGCAGAGTCTCCCCACAGCAGTTGGGGTCTCGCTCACTGGACCTCGCCCTCCCCAAGAGCCTGAAATACAGCGGCATCCTTCTCTCCACTTTTCCAGGACTCCTTTGTGAGCAGAAAATCTCTGGACTGCCCAATGGCTTAATCTGCATCCCCGCCCTCCTCCTCCTCCTCCTCCTCCTCCTCCCGGAGCCAGGATCCACGGAAACTCCTGGGCTTCAGGGCAGAAACAGGTGGCTGGGGGGCTTTTCCCTTTAGTTTAAGTAAAGGTCCTGGGTAGGGGGACCGGAGGCTGCCAAACTGCTCCTCAGACCTGGCTGAGAGGCTCGTTTCAGCTCAGAGTGGCGAGTGGGGCAGGCCCAGAGCCGGGACCTCCATGGGAATCATTTACAAACCAGCGGTGGGGAAGAAAGCCATGGCCAATATCGAAACCACTGGGAAGATCAAAACATTAATGAACTTCAGTGCAGACAAATGCAAATAAATGCTGCTCTAGGATCGTAATAAAGCTTAGCTTTGATTTGACCTGATTTGACCTGATCTGAAATGCCAGGGCTTTCGGGCATCTAGAATTAGAGATTGTCAGCAAAAGATCTGTCTCAATACAGGTCCAGAAATCTAGCAGAATCTGAAGGCAGCCGCAGCAGCAGAAAGTGAATGCCAAACAAGTCCCATTATGGCTGCCACCCCTCCCCACAATCAAGAAAGGGGGGGGGGTGTTCCTGGGAGGCACAGAGATGGTGGGGGAGAATAACCATCCTCAAAGGAAATGGACAATGGAGGAAGTGTATTTTCTGCTGCTCCAAAAACAGGCTTCAAAGGAAAGGATCCAGATTTTAAAAGGCAAACGAAAGACTAGGACAGAATTGTTTTGTTTACTATTAACTAAAAATCGGGGGGGGGGGGGAAACAAACATCAAGATCATTCTGAGTGGTTCACATCCTAGGAAAACAAAAACAAAAAATCCTAAAACAACGATAGCAAATAATCAGGTGCTTCTGTTTGTGACAGCAAACCATTAAACACAAAGAGGCTTTAGGAGGGGCTCCCCCAAGGCAGACCCTCTGCAGTTTTTCAAAGGCAGAGGGAGCTCCCTAGAAGGGGGCCTAACCCCCCTCCCAAGGAGAGGGTCCCCAGCACAGGCCAAGCAGAGACCAGTGGGAACCTGAAGGTCCTGGGAGGCCTGTAGAGGCTGGGACTGGACTTGGAAAGCTTTGGGTGGCCAAAGTCCTCCCCAGAGAAGCAAAGTCCCCTGTGTGTGTCATGGCTCTCGCTCACCCCTTGGTGGGCAGCTCCACTTTATAGCAGTTCCAGTTTCTAAGTCTGCTTCAAAGGAGGGTTATTCATTTTGATTACATTTATTTGGCTGCCTCTCTCACGAAAAGCGATTCTGGGCAGTGTGGAACAATCCAGTAAAACGATAACAATATAAAACAGTCATTATCTAACCCCCTTATGTAATAATTATTAGAAAACATTACATACTAAAAAGCACAATTAAACAAAGAAAATCATAGCTGGAGGAATATTAATAATAAGAGAGCCGCCTCCCTACTCCAGTCCAGAGTCAAAGTGGGAAAGGCCTGAACCTGCCTTGAGACAGCCTCTGACTGCAAAGAGAGTCCACCATCCTATCCTGTCCTAAGCTGGGAAAACCATCTGCTGGCTTTGGCCTTTACCTGCTGGTCAAGCAGAAAGCACCTGCCCAGGAGAAGGAGCCCTCAAGCCCTAGACTTGCAGTGAGTAAAACCCATTGAATACTGACATAGGAACCAACCAAGCGCCACATATTTTTATACAAGTAGAATTCCGCCTTCACAGAATATCAGAGCTGGAAGGGACCTTGGAGGTCTTCTGTTCCAACCCCCTGCTCAAGCAGGAGACCCCAGACCATTTTAGACAAAAGGCTGTCCAGCCCCTTCTTGAAAATTCCCTACAACTTCTGGAAGCTGCCCCACTGATTGATTGTTTTCACTGTCATAAATTTCTCCTTAGTTCTAGCTTGGATCTCACTAAGGTTCAGTTTTAACTCGACTCCTTTAGTCCTCCACAGCCTTCAGATACTTGGTTAGAGGATTTACCTGATTTCTGCCCAATTGTGGAGTACACAACTGGGTACCATCCGTGTACTGATGATGTATCACCCTGAACCTACAGACACTATCATATCTCTCCATGGTTTCATATAAATGTTAAAGAGCCGAGGACTGTGATGGCGAACCTATGGCACACATGCTGGAAGTGGCATGCAAAGCCATCTCTCCGGACACATGAGCCGTCGCCTGTTGCTCTTCCAGGTTCTGGTCTTCGTGCGCACAGGAGCACCGGAAACCAGAAGAGCAGCCGTCCGGTGTGCATGTGTCTGCTGGAAACTGGAAGATCATCTTCCCAGCACACACATGCACACCGGACGACTGCCCTTCCGGTTTCTGGAACATGTGTGCCTGTGCATCTGTTTTGGCGCTCGGTGCTGAAAAGGTTTGCCAACACTGGCCTAGGAGAAAGAATGGGGCAGTCCACCTATTGACGTCCTAAGACAGTCCCACCAATTCCAATCCACGCAGGCAGCCCTAAAGCCCATGGAGAAGAGGACTGGATGCTGCTGAGAGGCATCAGAGGGCCTCAAAGGCTGCCCTTCCCCCATTCAGTGCCCATTGCAGTTTCCTAGGAGGGGCAGTTTCTGTCCCATTCCCAGGCTTGAACTTTGACCTGAAGGGGCCTGGTGCCCCAAACAAAAGTGCTGGGGACCAATCATATCCACAGCCCTTTTATCACCTCTGTCCAGAGATCCCAGATTCTCAGCCTGTTCACTGACAAAATCTCCAACTGCCTCCTGGAAACCAACCGGATCCATTAATCACAAGGGTGGAGCATCCTAATTGGCCCTGGCAGGTAGAGGTGACAACCTGAAGACAGCAAAGAACTTAATGTTCAATCAGGTAAGCCACCAAGTGAAGGTGAGATGGGATCCATGACCGCCTGAATGAGTGGGGCAGGTGAGGCAGAGCCAAGGTCCCCACAGAGGTCTTGCATTTCTGAGCTTGCCCAGAGCCTTTTCCCCTGGAGACGCTGACGCCCTCTGGCATGAAAGCCTGGGAGGCTCTAACAGCCTCAGGACCCAGGAAGAATCCCTGCTGCAGAAGGGAAGAACCTCTGCAGAGCCTGGGATTGTCTCGCTTTCCTTTTTCATAGAGACTGAATAAAATGTTGCTTGAGGCCTTCATTGGCAAGGGGAATTGCATTAATATTTTTGAGTACAACTGAACTCTGTAAAAATGAAAGCATGAAATAACGAGGTGCTGGTTGGTGTCTCTGTGGAATGTCATGCCCTTCCGCCAACCAAGACAGCAGGGGGGGGAATCTCCTCGTGTGGAAGCCGCTCTCCCTGCCTCCCACCCAGGTCTGCCAGACCCACCTCCTGACCCAACGGTGGCAGCCTTGCCAGGCATTCAGCTCCCCACTGAGCCCCAAAGAGAGCCAGGTGGGCTGAGAGCAAAGCCAGCTTTGCAGAGATTTCAGCAGCTGATGGGAGCCCTGCCAGATCCAGAAGGCCTTAAACAGGGGAGGGGGAGGTCTCCAAAACTGCAACCTCGTGTCTTGTCTGCCTTTTAAATACTCTCAGGACATCCCACAATATTTGCAGCTCCAAAGTTAACAAGCCAAGCCAAGCCTTGATTTCTAGGGAATTCAAACCAATAATGCTGGGTTTCCCCTTCTGTTGTGCGTATGAGCAGCTCCTGCTTAATCCAAGTGAGTCTCTAAGAGCAACGATAGTAACTTAAAAGAAAAAGGTTATGAGAAAAAGAAAAACCAATCTGAAAAGCTGAGACTAAAAGTTCTCTGTCATTTGGGTAATGGGCCCACCTTGTGTGTTTGTGTGGTTTTTAATTTCATTCCACACCCAATCAGCAATCCAAAGGAAAAGGGGATGAGGCTGCTTCTTGACTGTAATCACAGGCTGAAGTCTCACCCAACACCTGCAGGGCGGATCTGCTTTAGCCTCTGCTGAAAGTGACGTTTTAATCTCCTCCATTAGGGAATCTTCAGCCACATATTTATATACTCCTTCTGGAAGAGGATTTATGGAGGAGAAATACACCTTCCTTAAGTCCTGAGTTAGACTCAGCTCTTTAAAACTGAACTCGGGCCCTGGTGGTTAGGAGTTGATTCTGCAACCATCACCTGCAGCTAAACCAGCAGTGCAGAAGCCAAAATTCCCCTCTTCTCCTACACTTCTGGGCAAACCTCACTTCGGCAAAAGCCCAACCTGTCACTCTCTGCTTGCATCCTCCTTAAAAGTGAGCAACTGAAGCCCAGTGAAGTAGGACTAGTATCAACAGGCAGCACGGGATATCTTAATAACAAACGAGCGATGGAAGAATGCAATCTAAAAAGGTTAGAGGGAGGGAAGGGGAAGAGGAAGGGAAGAAGACATTCCAGCCAGCTGAAGCCACTGGAGAGGATCTGTCTTCTGTGCTTCCACCCAGGCCTCTGCAAGGGGAACCATCTGTTTTCTCCTTTTCACATCAAACATGCCTTAACGAGCCACAATTAAGAACAAGTATGAGACATGCTTGTGTCAGAACAAACCACTTAACACCATTCAAATATTCACAATGAACTGAACACACAGGAATTCCCCACCATGCATTTTTGAAAGAAAAGAGCCCTCAACACACACACAACTGCAGCCCCCCACCCCATGGCCAGAGTTGCTGAGGGGCTTTGGGGGACGTAGCAGCACCCATCAAGCTCAGCTCTATGAAAAGCGGGAGTGGGAAGCATCTGCTCTGCTCCCTGCCTGGGCGCTGAAGATCAGGAGTAATCTAGGCTGGGCACCCCTCTTCCTCCTCCCAAGTGGAAAAGATCAGGCAAAGGGAGAACTTCACCTTCGCTGGGAAGACGAGTCTCCCGCTGCCTCTGGCTCAGTGCTGACCTGGGTTTCTTTGGGATCCGGATAAAATCCTTACTGCCTAAAGGAATCACTTCAGTTATGAATCCAGGAATCCTCTCCTCCACTTATGATAAATGGCTCTTGTGGGGGGGGGGGGGTTCATAGCAAATTCTATACACCAGAACTGGAGTTACTGAAGCTGTGAACACTTTGCAAGGAGAGAGAGGGAACTGGGAACAATTTTTTTTAAAAAATCCCAGTCTTGTGGCATTCACTATACTGCATCCACCCTGACAGTCCAAATGCCAGGCAGGGTCCAAATCTGATCCACCTGGTAAGATCCACCACTTGTCAAGTGGGCACCAAGAGACCCTCCCTCCCCTCTTCTCTTTCTCGGAGAGGAAAAAAGCTTTGCCCATAATTCCTGTGGCTTCAGGACTGACCGTCTGGGGTTTCTGTGGAAAATGGGAGTGCCAAGGGGAGACAAAGAGGAGGAAAGGCTGTTTCAAGAGAAACCTTTCTGGGCAAATGTTCTCACCAGGAGCACATTTCCCACCCAATGAATGTTCTTAAAAGAGCCCAGAGTGGTTGAGTGGATGGACAAGGATTTCAATTGGGTTGAGTAGAAGGGGGGAGATGGGGGGGGTATCCAGATGAAGGTTACAAACAGGCTGGATTGTAAGTATCTCATCAATCAATTAACAATTGTAATGTGTTACAGCCACTGTGTTTGTTCAGACCTGAGATTGCCTGAAACCTTTTTTGCTGTGAGACCAGCAGCTTCTCACTCAGTGATGGAGTTAAAGAGTGGAGACAGAATCCCACAGGCATCTCCACCATGTCCTGCTTCAAGAGGACCAATGCCATCGTTTGCTCAAAGAGCCGGGGTCTCCAGGGCAGATCAGCCACCTGACCAGCTGAGGAGGGCAGCTTTATGGCATGGAAGCTCTGGGCTCTGTGGCCTGAGATGTCAGATTTTCAAGGAAAACGAACAGCAGGTTACAGACGGAAGCCTCCTTCTCCTCCTCCTGCTGCAGCCTTCCTTCTCCCAGGCCCCTCATTGTAAGGTGGGCAGGTGAGCAGAGGCCATTCAGATGCCTGGACTTTGCTGGCTGCTCCCTGTCCTCTTTCCGCCCAGCCAGCCAGAAGCCGCGGCCTGTTTGAGATCCAAAGGTGCCTCTTTTACGCCACCAGGACCCTCCCTGGAGGCTGCCCACCTCAAGAGCCAGCAAGCCCCTGTTGGGGTGACTGGGAGGAATCTCCAACTGCAAGGGGAGCCCCAATGCCAGTCCCCCCTTTCCCAGAACCCATCAGCCAATGGAAGGGACAGGCAGCCTTTTCTTCTTCATTGTCTCCAACGGCTTCTCCTTGCTAGGCTTTGCCGCAAACTCCAGAAGACGTTGGGCACTTAAGGCCAACTTGGCCTGCAGCCTTGCAATCTCTGGACACACACAACACAAACACACACACACACCAGCTCTGGCCTCCTGCAAGAGATAGTCTGAGCTTCTTACATAAACCCCCAGCATTGGGAGTTGCTCTTTATGACAAAGGCGGCTTTCCTTCTGGACCCCCACTCCCCCCCCCCCTTGCTTACTGAAAGCTCCTTGTCAACCAGGCAGCAAGGAGAACTCTTCAGCAGGCTAGTCCCTGGGAGGGTCCCACCACCCAGCTGCCCACGAAGCTCTTCCCTTCTGGCAACTGGCAGCTATAATCAGCTCCTCCCCTCATCCCTCAGCTTCAGTTCTCCCATGAGGAAAAGACAAGATAATAGCACCAAAGATGAAGTCCCAAGAGAATAAAATATCTGGCAACAAAGGGAAGCCTTACCTGCAACAAGGATGCAGCAGTGACACAAACACAAGCCTGGGGGGAGAGCAGCACGGACGCGCACACGCACACACATGCACACACACACGACACTGTTGCTGAAACCTCAGAAAAGGTCTGGCTGCTTCCCCTGGAGCCCGTTGGGTGAGGGTCTGAAGCACTCCCCCCCTGCAGCTCCACGCAGGGCTTCTCCTGGACAGAGGAGGCCTTGATGTTGAGTTGGTTAAACGAAATGCAATGAGGTAAACTGCCGACACAAGAACCTTTCTAAAAGCTGGGTGGTTCCATAAAAGACAAAATGCCTGCAGACCTCTCCTCCTCCTCCTCCTCCTCCTCCTCCTCCTCCTCGCCACACTGTCTAAGGAAGCCACCATGGCTGGCAGCCTCCGCAACCAAGTAGGCTGATGAAATTGTGAGCTGCCTTTTGTGCAGAGTTTGGTGATCTCCCCATCC